AAAATGAAAAAGTTCGCTATGGCTGTCGTACTTGGGTACAAAGGTGAAAACATGAAGAAACATCATGGAAGGGGCATGCCAACGAGGGAATAGAAGCAGCACTTACACTTGAAGAAGAAGAAGAATACATTTAAAAAATGGAAAGTAAAAAAAACAGAAATGAATGAAATACGCATTGACTGAGATAATATGGAAAGTAGTAGAGAGTGAGAGATTGAGTGTGTGGTCTGCGTGAGGGAGAGAAATGAAGTAGAAAAAATATGTTTGTTGAATTTTGTTTTTTCTCTTTAAAGATAGAGAAATGTTTGGCTTTTCCCATCTTAAAACAGAAAGAAAGCCCTACACTTACGTGAATAATCCAGACTGATAAAGAAGCATTTTATATTTGTTGGAATAATATGCCATACCTACATGTAACACTATCTGGTAAACACTTTGTTGATTAGTTGAGTTTAATCACAACTTACTTGCATGTCAGTTATATATCCCTTCACCTTTCTATCAGGCTGTATATGTTATAACAGGTGTTCTAATCTGTCATTCCTCTCCTCTCTCCATTCCTCTTTCTCTCCTAATCTCATGCTTGATAATCTGTCTCACAAATTGAAATTTTATTTTTCTGTCTTGCTATCTAATGAATCAATCCCCTCCCACCTGATGTTATCAACTTAACACCATTGCTGATATTGTGAGATGTTTTATCACCGGTGTTCTCGTCTTGCTGTTACTAGCATACTGACATCGGGGGCATGTCATTTGTTTGTTGTTAGGGGGGTGTCATTTCTCCCCCCCCCCCCCCCCCCTCCCCATCACCAGAATTCTGTTGAAAATTCTCCCAAAAAATCATATTGTCATGGAAACTGCATTGTTCCCAATTTCCCGACCTTTTGCCAGTTATGTACAGCGCGTCTTCTTTGCTGTATTCAGTATTGAGTTGTGTGCTGCAAGGTGTTGCTGTTGCTGCTGTGGTGTGTACGTGTGTGTGTTTATTGCCAATCAAACATTTGCATGGTACATGTATGCTTGTATTTTTTTTATTTTTCAAACTGAACACTACAATAGCTTCAGCTGTAAACCAAAGAGGTAATTTACCTCATCAGTAGTGTAAAGATCAATGTACAGCATAAGATGTATGTATATGTATACTTGTACCTTATTTTATTTTATTAAAGGCATTCTTGACAGTCAGGGAGCATGTATGTACTTTACAAAGAAACGTAAAGAATGGCTTTGATTATCATGTAGACATACTGCTTCCTTTTGTCTTACTGCACTCAGTAAAGTTAAATACAAGAATGAAGAGAACTCAACATTATTTTATTACGACTTTCTTTACATTCCTGCATTTTACTGTGATGTGTTGCATGACTTGATAAAGCAGAATGTCTTTGTTTAAAACTATTCTTTGGATTGGTAGCATTAATCATCTCTAACTATTAGTGATTAATTTTATATGCAAAGACCGGTCAGAGTGAGTTTGCCTTCATAAGGCAAAAAGTTTTTATTGAGAGATGTTTAATATGATATTAATGTATATTAGTTTACAGTTAAGTAATTTGACCAAATAGTTCCTAAGAAATGTCATTAATGTTTTGAGGCTTTATAGATTATTCTTTTTTGATAATGGTGATGATGTGCTTGCTCTTGCACTATCGTGTCGTAATAGATCTTTGATGTAATGCATTCAAGTTCATGTTTCCTCTTGTCATGATGAAACTTTTTTTCTCACCTTGCTAAGTCAGATATACCTTTGACAAGCTTCTTGGGGTGTCAGGAGCAATTTACTTGAAAAAGAATACATGAAATGGGAATGCATAACAAACCGAGCCTATTATGGTGATATGCATACACACTATTTATTCATCAAGTTTCTTGAATGCAGAAGCAGAAGTCGGTGCGTATTCATATACATGAAATGCATTTCCGCTCAATATTTGCAAACATGTGTACTTCACTTAAGCAGCGAGACTCTTATTTATTATGTGTTTTTTTCTTGAACTATATCATATAATATACCATTAAGAATGCTAGAGATAAGAAACAACTAATAGAAAATATCCAAGTATCCTTTGTTTGAAGAAGAAAAAAAGTTTTTTAAAGAAATGCCTGATCAGGATGAAAATAACAGAGCAGAATGTTGAGAATACTTGGATTTAGATACAATTGATTGTTTAGGGGAAAAGATAGAGAATAGAACATTAAAATCTGGCTTATTTAGGAGCTGTTCTTGTATTTACAAATGATAGAATACAAAATTCTGAAAAGGTTTAACACAAGGTGTATGGAGTATAGATGTATAATTTAAAAGTTGATTTCATAAATGTTAAAGATTGTATGCTAATATTTCGGACGCTCAAGAGACAATATTGTATGTTAGCCTCTTTCCCTGTATTTTTTATACATTTTTCTATAACAATATAAACTGAGATACGGTAAGTGAAAAGGGTAAAGAGCAGTGTGTATTTCGTGTTTGTAATTTGAGGACTTTCATCTGCTCATAGACATCAGTCAAAACTTGAGTCATATCTTTTGCTGGTACAGATGGATAGAGGTTTAATAGTGCTTTCATGATTTTATCTGAGATTGTTTTTATTTTCAAACTGAAGGGGCTATTTTAGAAGTGTCTTGAAGTACTTCACATAATTGCTAAATTGACCATAGCAGTGACTGTCTGCATATTAAACAATATTTGTATTTTTTGTATGATAGTTAACAGATGTCTAGAAACTATTTGTGATGCCCTCATTGTTGTTTATGTAAGTAAATCGTTTGAAATGCACATGGTATATTTGGACATATGAGCTGGTAATTAAGAAATGACAATACCATGCATTATATATTCAACATTCATTTTTTCCCCTTTTAAATTTTTCGGAAACTTTTGAATTCAGACAGCCATATATAATATGATTTGTTTGTGCATTTATATACAAAATTAACCTACATAGGTTTAAATTTATCGTACGAATGTCTATCTGATTCAATTACTTGTTATTGTTGTTAAGTATTCTGTTGATTTTAATCATATATTTGTGATTGTGTAGCTCAACTCTACTTTTTCTGCAGTCTAAAATATTGCCAAAATGTGTAAAGTTTTTGAGGGACTGTCTGCTTTTGACCCTATTTGTAATCTTGTAATATTAAGACTACTGTATGTGAAACCAATAGTGACTTTTACACATTCAACAGCCAGTTAGGGTTTTTATTGGTAAGTTCTGGTCTGATTTTTTAATATAGATATGGGTATTTTCTGTTTCACTGCAACTGGGGACAATCATATTGATGGCTTTATTTAGATGCTTTATGTTTTGTAGACATAAAACTATTACTATTTCTTGTTTAGATATTATCAACCAGCGCAATGTCTGTTCAAGGTGTGAAGACAGTCATGCTGAAGAAAGATACCATATATAATGTGCATATTGCCCTCTAGTGCAAGTTAGACTAGTCTTAAGTTGTTAGCTTTTCCTGTTTAGATTTATTTATTCTTTGTAACTGTGGAGGTAGAGAGGTGATAACTGGTGGTGTGAATTATTTGTTGGAACTTTTGTATAGAAAATTGAGAGTTACTCGTTTATGATCAGTGTCCAGTGGAGTGTTTCACAAAGACTAAGATCGACTTAAGTTGGACTTGAACTGTAGTAAGATGTTAGTTCCTCTAACCATTCCTGGCATTGGTCTCTCAAGGGACATACAAATCGTGGCCTGCCATAGTTCAAGTCCAACTCAAGTTGATCTTAGCCTTTGTGAAACACCCCCAGGAAGCATATATGATTTAAAGGCAACATAAATAATGTACATGTGTGTTTGTGTAGTAACATTTTAAACCACAACAGTTTGACTGTTTGAATTATGTGTAAGCTCCAGAGACTGAACAAATTGTCTGATTTATATAACGATACGTGATGAATGTCCACATGCAACAACTGCAACGTTACTTTTCAGAAAATAGAGTAGAAAGTGAAGTTGTAGGTGATAATTAATTAATTATCCCACCTAGATTTTAAGCCCCTCTATTATTGAAACTCATGTTAAATCTGCACAAGATAGATTTCAAGTAGGTTGATTATAAATACGAACCAGAGCTTAGTCTTTATCTTCTGGTGATACCATTCCTCTTGGCCTTTATGCATATATTTTCATTGGCCTATTTTCCTTTATTATATTTATATGAATATAGTTTATACATGTACAAGGATTTTGACTGCTGAGAGCCAGAAGGACATTAATGCATACCATAAAGATTGCGCCCTTCTGACTCTCAACAGATGAATTGTTATGTCCATTTCCATAACTACAGAAAACATGTTTTCATGTAATTTTCATGTGTTTATGTATGCTACCTTATTAAATCATTAGCATGTATGACGAGCCATTATTATTGCAGTTCAGGTGATAGAGATCTCTGTACATATAGGAAATATACCAGTTATATGTAGAACAGTATCAACATATATACATGGTCTGTTCAGGGCCAGAAGGGCATTTACTGTGTGTTAAAGTATATGTGTGAACACCCTTCTGGCTCCACAGACAACATGTAAGTATTTTATGTACTTGTGTCCCGTTTGTTTCATGACCTACTCGTTTTGAAAAGATAAAAACTTGTACAGTATCTTTTGTGTATTTTATTATGAAGAAAACAATAAATAACGAATATGGCAGGTGACCAAGCAATAAATGAGTACTGGGTCTTTTAATTTCTTCTCGTTATTATTTACTGTGACAGGAGACATGCCAGATAGAGAGACTGTTATGAGTATATCAACAGGAGTAAATTTGATGTTCTGAAAATCAAGTGAAAGGAGGATGTAAAATAAGAAAATAGGTCACTGATTGATATGATGAAGTTCACAATCTATGCATATTTGGTTGCAGGCTTAAGCAGCTATTTATATTTAATGTAACACAAACATTGCTAAACAGAAATAACTTTTCGAATACGAAATCCTACAAAACAAACAAGTTTGGGCTCTCCTTTCGTTCATTTACATTATAACTGATCTGCATTAGCCCTGGAAACCTTTGATATATAAACAATAAACTATCAATAAAGGAAATGTAACATTTTGAAACAAAGTATACTACAGGCCAGTCAAATTATTAGGGTTGATATCACTGGTTAGTAAAGTTCAAACGAAGTTTCAATCCCGTGGTTGTCACTTATTCCAGTTTTCTACAAAAAGTTAAATAGTTAAGCTACCAGTACTGAAAATATCTTTATGTTAAATCTTTCTCATCCCCGCCCCTCCACACATAAATAACAAAGAATAGAGGAAATAAACAAACGTCCCTGGTTCTGATTTTTACTCATTTTTGATGTTGGTATTTTCAGTGCATCTAGATTCAAAAGATGTGACCATGATGAAGTTTAAGTTCGGCTGCATTTTTTCCCTGAAAATCCGCCAAATTATAATTATACGTCTATTTTGACGTATCCGCGCTCAAAGCCGTCTGCTGCTGTGACGCCGACCCGTCGTATGTTGTCGCCGGAGTCGTGCCTTGGTCGAGCGGTGTCTTGACCCCCTTGCCTCCCTCCTCTTCACCCCCTACTGTAGCCCATATGATACACTTGAAGGGTAGCCCTATGAGGAAGAGCACGACGTCTAGGATACCCTCGATGCAAGGCGCACAGCATGGACAACATATCTTAACTGGAGGTAAGTGAGAGATAGAGACAATAAATCAAAAGAATATAGGCAGAAAATTGAGGATCGACAAAGAATATCTACTCTTCATTCAAAAGCACCAAAAGTGTTCTCTTTAAGAAATTGTTCAAGTTCAAGTTCAAGTTCAATTTTATTTCAATTCAAATCCATAAAAAACATATAAGATACAGATTATATACAATATAGAAAACACAAGAACACACACAAAATGGAAACATGTCTACAAATATATCGGAATTATACAAAGTTAATCAGCAATAGAAATTAATTGGGAAAACTGCAAATAAAACCATAAGGTTCTGTCGAGGCAGTCCCTGTTTTTAAAAGATACATATACAAGTTCCAACAATTGGCTATAAAAAATATAACAATAACAAAAACAGTGTACAAAGCATAGAAGACGTATTAACATGCAAATATTATTATAGATTTAAAAACAGATGAAGTATTTTTTTATTTTAGATTTAAAAGAGTTTAAGACAGCAGTATCACGGACATCTCCGGGGAGAGTATTCCATATTTTCGGGCCAGTGTCCAGTTGGCCCCCCCCCTTCCCCCCTGCGCTTAAGGGGGGGGGGGGTCAAATTTTTTAATTTTCGAGGACCAAAAAAAAAAAAATGTGCTCACAACTTAGTTGGGCCCCCTCCCCTAAGAAATCCTGGATCCACGCCTTCATCTGTTCATGGATAATGTAAAACATTTTGGTATAGACATGGTCTGATAGCATGATTAGCTCAGTGGTATATACTTACATGGGCAGCACAGGATACCGAGTATAATTCCTACGAGACTAACTACGAGCAGAACAGGAAGACAGATGATCACAAGAATGACCTTGAATATGACCACTATAATCTCTCCACAGGTCTGGGGGCACGACATCTTTCCACTCTTTAGGATGAAATACAAACAAACTTAGTTAAATTTCTATGCGAATAAAATTTAAATGAATTTATTATTCTGTAAATGGTATATAGGCCGCTGCACGACAATAATTAGACTTGCTTCCTATATGAAACGAATCAACAAATTAAGAGAGATGTCCACACTTTGGACGATTGTTTTCAACATAAATAATTCGCCATTAACTTTCTTGCTCATCACTATTCAATCTCCATTCTCCTATTTACAATTATTGTGACTTTATTGAGTTAGTTTTTACAAAACGTATGGCATATATTATTTTCATTTTTCTAGGGAATACGGATCACTGTTTATGTCAAATTGAGTCAAACATCACTGTACCTAAAATTCGTATAGTACCGAAGTAATAATAATGATAACATATAGGATTTACTGATAAAGCGCCAAATCCACCTCAAAATTAAATGCTCAAGGCGCACTAGTGCAAAAATACAATATAACTAAAAAAGAAGACAATTCAGATCAACTAAAAGCAGACTGAAAAAGATAAGTTTTAAGGTTGCTTTTGAAAGATTCTAATGTAGGAATATCTCTGATCCCTCGAGGTAAACAATTCCAGAGTGATAGCCCAGCATGAGTGAAATCTCTCTCCCTCCATTTTGTATTAAGTTTTGGAAGAACAAGCAATCCAGGTTTTTTGAGAACTTAAAGATCTGGCAAGTAATTATAGTGATTAATCAAAGAAAATGTGGAGCAGAGCCATGAACACAATGAAACATAAGCAAAAGAACTTTGAAAACAATACGTTCTTTCATGGGTAACCAGGGAGATGAGAGTTTCATCTCCCTGGGCCTGGGGTAACCAATGGAGTTCCTTGAGAATCGGTGTGATGTGACTGTGTCTGTTGGAGAGGGTAACAATTATTAATGCGAGCAGCGGCATTCTGCAATTTGTGTAATTTGGCAAGCTGAAGTTCTGGCATTGAACCCCGCATTAAACATATTTTCAAAAGTAAACATCTAAATTAACGATCTGAAACGAACAATTATTAACCATTTTAGCACTCATAATGTCTGAATAGATTTATCTTACCTCGGTTATCTTATTGGGCCGAGTGTACTGCTCCAAAAGGCCTTCAGCAGGGGAATCGGATCCGCTGAAAAATTACTTTATTTGGAAAAACAATGCAGCTTACATCGTCGTTTACACGACTTGAGATCAAAGAAAAAACAAAATTGGTTATTTGCGAAGTAGTATCACCTTGCATATGATTTTGATTTATGCGGGCTTGATTAAACGTATATACACGCTATAGTTTGCATTATTTTCTCTTCCACTCCATCTGTCCTTCTCCATACGTTCCCACTCCCTCGCTCACCCCCCCCCCCCCTCTCTCTCTCTCTGTCTGTCTCTTTCTTTCTTTCTTTCTCTCTCTCAATCTCAATCTAAATATCAACCTCTCCCTCTCTCTCTCCCCCTCTCTCTCTCTCTCTCTCTCCCTCTCTCTCTCTCTCTCTCTCTCTCTCTCTCTCTCTCTCTCTCTCTCAATTTCAACCAAACCAAAATATGCAGTTATTTCCACAAAAGGAAGGCAGTAAGGATGAACAATGACGGCGCGAGGCAAATTAATTTTCTCCTTTAATTTTTGTATAATTATGTGCATATATAATAGTTATATCTACCAATTTATTTATCTCTCTCTACCTTTACATTCCCTTCCAAATTCAACTACCCGCGTTTGATAATTTTCTGCCATGTTCTACACACACTGTATAGGTAGGTACCTTATAGATAAAATGAAAGCATTTCCAATTTCTTATCTCTCCAAATATGAACATTAACTTTGTAAAGACTATGCTTATGATTAATGTTACGTATATAGAGCAACATTCATGTTTAAACAGCATAAGAGCACCATGCACAATGACGACAGTAAATTAGGAAACTGGATTGTATACATATCAAAATTAGCTGCGACTGACATTACCTCATATAAATTTCACACTAAATGTCTTATCAACATTAATGTAAAGACTCTAATTCAGTGGCGGATCCAGGGGGGGTGGCCGAAACGGCCGCCCCCCCCCCCCCCCCTATTGGCGGCGCAAAAAAAAAAGGGGGGAAAAGGGAAAAAGGAAAAAAGAGGAAGAAAAGAAGGGAAAAAAGAAAGGAGGAGAGAGAAAAAAGGAGTAGAAAGAAGAAAGGAGAAGAGAAAAGTAAAAAGGGGAGAAAAGAAAGAGAGAGAGAGAGAAAAAAAAAGAGAAAGGAAAAGAGAAGCCGGGTGAGAAAGTAAGAAAGACAAGGAAATGGCACAAAGTGACAGAAACAACGAGTAGGGGAAAACTGGGGGGGGGGGGGTATGCGCGTGTGTCCGTATTGTAATTTTAGGTTGTGCAAAACTGAGTCTGAATTCAGCTTATTTTCAATAGTTCTAAGCATACTAGCTTGTTTATGAGCCGTAGTACCTGAAAAGAGTTGTGTAAAAACACTTCTGAAAAGGCTGCGCCCAGCCCCTCCAAAGGGCGGCAGAATGGTAATCAGGAAATGTTGGGTGTCATTTCCAAAGGCATGGGGCCGTTATTGAAGAGGGGGCCGGCCATATATGTAAATGGCATTGACGGTAACGGTGGATAAGGGAATAACGAGGAAGGGAGTGCACATGACTGTGAACTGCAAGCGTATATTGGGGATGATCATCCTATCATTTTAGTTTGTGCAATCCGGGTCGAAATCCAGCATAATATATTTATTTTAAAAAGGTTCATGTAAAAGCACTCATGATGAAGCCCGCGCCCGGCCCCTACAAAGAGGAGCAGAATTGTAATCGGGAGATCGGAGGTCATTCCCGAAGGCTTGGGAGACGTTATTGGAGTTGGGGGGGGGGGGTATTGAACAGAGGGGGCAGGCCACATAAAATCCCGAGCTGCGTTGCAAAAAGGGGGGGGGTGGGGTGCGACACCCCCACCTGTCAGGATATTGTCGGTAAAATTGTGCAGCTGTCGGGAAAAATAAGAGAGGGGAGGGGAAAAAAGAAAGGGGAAAGGGAAAGAAAAGAAAACAAGAAAAACAAAAGGTGAAAAGGGGAAAAAAGAAGAAAAGAGATAAAAAGGAAACAAAAGAAACGGAGGATGAAAGAGAGAGAGATGTAGGTAAGGGCCTGAGGGAAGAGGGGTGGGAGTAAGAGAGAGAGGGGGGATGTTGGGTGGAGTCGCCACGTCGAGGGAGCAAGAAAGATACGCATGGTAATTATGTTGCTGTGTCGGGTCCGCAGTGTCGATAGTTTTTGCTCGATCGTCGTGTACTATATCAATGCAGAAGTTTGAAGTCGGTGAGATGTATATAATGTCGGTCGGCCGGTATTTTTTCCCCTACGAACTGTGACTTTTTATGGGACAGAGAAACATTTTTGAAAATTCAGACAATGATTATTAAGAGTCGGTACAACGAATCGTCTTCTTTCTCTAATAATTAAATGAAACGTCAAAGCTTCCGCGCTTCGCGCGGGAGAGGGAACTCAGTACAGAGAAGGACTTAGAGTCAAAATGTACAACGAATCGTCTTCTCTCTCTTATAATTTATTGAAACGTCAAAGTTTCCTGGGGGTACCTGAATTCAGACAAGGATTAAAAGGAATAATTTCTAATGAAACGCCAAAACTACCTTGCTTCGCGCGGGAGGGGGAAACTAAATTCAGACATGCATGGACACGGTACAACGAATCGCCTTCTCCTCTAATAATTTAAATAAACCTGAAAGCTTCTGCGCTTCGCGCGGGATGGGCGAAAATGAATTCAAACAAGGGTTAAGAGTAAAAGTTAAGGGTAACGTAAAGGTTCCGCGCGAAGCGCGGGAGGGTCAAAAACTGAATTCAGAAAGGGATTTAGAGTAGAGAACGGTACAACGAATCGTCTTCTTCTCTTATAATTTAATGAAAAGTCAAAGTTACTGCGCTTTGCGCGGGAGGGGGGAATCTAAATTCAGACAACGACACGGTACAACGAATTTTCTTCTTTCTCTTCAAGGATTTAGAGTAGAGAACGGTACAACGAATCGTCTTCATTCTCTAATAATTTAACGAAACGTCAAAGCTTCCGCGCTTCGCGTGGGAGAGGGGGAAACGAAACCAGACAAGGATTAAGAGTCGAAAACAGTACAACGAGTCGTCATCTTTCTCTTGTTTGTTTTATTTCCGAAAATCATCATAAAAAACAATAACACAATATAACAAAATCAAAGACATATAACATTGATAGAATGATAAAACGGTTGGATAGTCCATTTCAGAGCCATTAACCTAATGGCTCTGTTCTTCCATGGAGTCCAATATATATATAATGATACTATAATTAGTAATGATATAACAAAATAGTAAGTCGTAATTAAAAATATTTTTAAAAAAACAAAAAACTTTGTACTTGTACTTAACTTAACTAAATCAAATCAAATTAAATTAAACAAAAAACCGTACAAAAAGCATTAAAATCTATTCAAATATCCCCTACCATCCCTAATGTAACAAAATACGACCCCACCCTTATCACCCACCCTGCTAACAATTAACTTAACTAGTTTTAAAATACTCTACACATTATCTAATTTAGTCTGTTATTAAATTGATTATGTTTATGGCTAAAGCCAATGGGATTGCGAAATTTAAATATCAAAATAATTGAAGTATTTTTGAACATGTTTATTAAACAAATTTAGTGTGCCTAACTGACGGAGCTTAATAGGTAGTTCATTGTATAACAAGGATCCACGATATAAGAATGTACGTTTACACTGATTGGTTCTTGGTTTCGGAAGCATTAAATTGTCATTATATCTTAGCCCGTAACAATTTTCGTTAAATACAAATTTATCAGTCATATATTTAGGTGCTAGCTCATGAAATGTTTTAAACAGTAACGAACCCATATGTCTCCGACGTCGCGATTTTAGGGTTTCCCAATCCAAGGTATCGTGAATCTGCTGAATAGATACATGTTCACCAGGTTTAACCTGAAGAATAATTCTTCCTGCCC